GTAGCTAAAGTCTTCAATAATACAAACCATTATAAGAACTGTAGTAACAAATTATATAAAGCTATTTCCAACGGTGTCCTTCCATGAAAGCAAAGGGCAGACACCAAAGTTCATCTCAGTAAAGACAATTCCGGAGAGCCTGAGATAAATATGGCCTAAGCATGGCAGCTTTCAGTTGGCTCAGCTTAATCAAGTATAAAACCAAGAATGGCTAGAGCAACAGGTAGACGACATGTCCTTCCAAAAAATTCTGTAAATACTACTTCTTCCAAGTGGGTATTTGTTAAGAGCTGGGCAGCAGTCAGTTCGATTAGATGATCTCTAAATTCCACTGCAGTTCTGGTAGGCGTAAGTGGCATTTCTGGTCTTCATGTACTCACTCTAATTTAAGGATCTGTGCCTGGTTTCCCTTGCATTCTCTCATTTAATCCTCCCATCAATCCTGTGTGATAGGAACTATTATTAGTACCATTTTACAAATAAGGAACAAAGATTTAGAGAATTTTAATAGATAGCCAAAGTCACAGAGCTAATTATCCAGGTCTTTCTGGCCCGGGTTCTTAGCCCCACTTACAGTGCCCTCCTGGTATTAATGAAATGTGATTACTGATAGAAATGCTAATGTTTGTCAGGAGTAAACAGTGAGGCCTAGAATAAGGTTACTGGGGGAGATAAGAGTTGTTTGTTAATAAGAAAACAACAATGGAGCTTTGGGAAACTTTGCCAATCTTTAAAGGGAATAAAGGAATGAACAAATTGTGAAAAGCAGAAATTGCAAATGAAAGTAATCCCAAGGGAATACTATATTATCTCAGGAAAAGAAAGAAAAATTCTCTTTTCCTCTTCTCTTAAAAATATTCTTTTCTACCCTAGAGACTGTAAAGTTTAGAGTCTAAACCTTAGCTCTTAGTTCATTCATGCATTCAACCAACAGATATTTATCCAGACTCCATACCAAGTACTGTCAGCAGTGAGCAAAACAGAAAAGCTCTCAGCTTCCACTTTAGCAAACAAGTAGATAATATATTTACAGATGGTATTAAAGTACTTTGAAAAAAAATAAAGTTAAGGGAATTAAGAGAGGCTGAAGTGCAGAAGGGGAGGAACTGTTCCAGATAACTGGTCAGGGAGACCCAAGTGAGATAAAGAGTCAGGCATGCAAAAATTTGGAAAGAGGCACTACCAATAGAAAAGCCCTGTGACAAAAATAAGCATTGCATATTTTAGAAACCTCAGGAAGGCCAGTGCAGCTGAAGTAGAATGAAGCAGAGTGGGGAACCATGGTAGATGAGATAGGAGAAGTTGGGGGAGGGGGACAGGCCATGTAATGCCTACAAGGAAAGGAGCTGGATTCTATCTGAAGAGCAATGAATGGGAAGTCTTTGGTAAATTGTAAATAAGGCAGTAGCATATTCCGATTTACTTTTAGGCCCTCCAATGTCATATTCAAAGCTCTCAGGGAAGAATCAGGCAGGGGCAATCTTTTTTTAAAACAGATGGAATCCTCTAAAGACTTAAGTATATAACACCTGTGGTTAAGGATAACTTCACTGAAAACTAAGAACTCTAACAAAATACCTTTAGCCTGCAGGCACTGGCTAGCTTTCCCTCATTGCAAGCTAAGGTTGAAAATGATGTTTCTTGCATTTCCAAAGCTTTATACCCCTTTATGCTAAGGGGGATGCAATTGTCAGAACACCTAGTGGTTTGCCTGACAGACTCTAGGGAAATGTCAAGATCCTTTACAAAGGCAACTGATCTGACCCTCCATTTGAATCTCACCTGAACATCTTTTCCCTCTGCTCTTCCTATCCTAGGATATCCTATTCCTTGCCATCCTTCTATTGCTTTCTTTTTCCCATATGCCCAAAACCATACATTCTAAATGTGAGCTGCTTGGCCAAAGTGAACGCTATTACAGTTAATTCAAACAATCCCACAGTTTATTTTCTCATATAAGGCACACTTTTGCAAGAAGGACCACAGCTGAATTTTAATGTGGGTAATTTAGAGTCCTTTCTGAAGCTAAACTGCAGCTTTAATTCAAAGAAATTTCTTTTACCAACATGTTTGGACACAATAACAAAGGGGGGGGAAAATCTAGCGGCTGCATCAGCTTTGTGTGTGTTTGTGCTTGAAGGCAGAGGTAGCAGCATCAGAAACTGAATGCACAACAAGACCCACCTGCACATAGGAGCTGGGAGGTCACCATGGCAAAGAACCAGGACTGGGGTAGGCAAAGAGATATGGGAACTTTTGTCTGTTATTAACACCTGATGATAAACAAGCCCTGACTCCCCACACCCCAAGTAAAAAGAAAGTCGTCAGCTTGCCTTTCCTCCAGGCCACACAGTCTGGAATACCCAGATACTAAACGAAATCAACCTTTTCTTCTGCTGGCCAATTGTTAATCCCCCAGGCTCAATGATTATGTAGCTGCTTCAAAACCATTTAAAATCATCAAGACAATGAAAATTCACATAATCTAAACAGTACAGCAACTCATCAGCACTACTCAGGTCCCCACCCCCACATACCTAGAAACATCCAGAACAGAGAACAGCAGCCCTCAAAGGGGATGGGATAGGGTAGAAAGGGAGGGGTACCAGTCTCTTAAGGCCAACTGCTTCACAGCATTTGAAAACAAACACTGCGCCCTTAGACTTTTCAAAGCCTAAGCTAGTGTGACTGGCAGCTGAGTGATCTTGGGATTGCAGAGTATGGATCACATACCATACCTTGCACTCCATATCCAAGTTAATGCCTTTCATTGTTCACTGCCCCCAATTGCCACCAGATCAGGGTTTCTTATCAACCACCTGCATCACAATCTCATGGGCCACTTATTACAGATGCAGATTCCTGTGCCTGAATATAAATATTATCTCTATGCATATTTAAGTCTGAGGACCTCTGCCCTAAGCAATGTTTCTTAAACTGAGGGTCATGACCTGCTTGGCCAGGAAATCAAATTAATGGGTCATGATCAACAGTTGATTTGTTTTTAATGAAATATAAAAAATACATATATATATATTTTAACAGAGCATACTGCAGGTAGTGAGGGTAATTATTGTTTTCTGGAACTTATTTCAGTTGTAGACTGATGTACAGTGCTATAAAATGTATTCCTTAACTGTGGATCCCACTCAAAGTTTGAAAACCATGCTTCCAGAGAGAAGGAAAACAATATTCTTGTGCATGGTGTTTATTTTCCATTTTCCACCCCTTACTCCAAGCTTGATTTTAGTTCAAGCACAGAAATCTCAAGACAGATCCAAGACATGCTGTCATCAAATCCTAAATTGATAAGTCAAAGCCCAGCTGAGGAAGGGGTTGAGCCCACAGGCCCCCACTCCACTCCTGAGACCCTGTCATGGAGCTGGGAACAAGGGATAGGACCAAAGGAAGTTTGCACAGCTAACCTCCGGCTGGGCCTGTGAGAACTTGTAACCACTCTTATCACAGTTCAGGAGAATGAAAATGTTCCTCAACAGAGGCAAGACTCAGCCTCAGCATTAAGGGCTAAGAAAGTGAGCGATGAATGGACAGAACTCAGATTAGTCCCTGAGTTCCTGTGACAGTGTCTAGGTAAAAGGAAAGCCAGGGAAGGGTGAATCCAATCTCGCTGATCACAGGTCCTGTGACCCCCAGAACCAGAAGAACACTGGAGAGCATCCAAGGTGTGAGATCAAGTCCCACCCCAGAGCCAGTGAGGTGATTTACTTAACTTCTCAACCCCCTAGATGCCCTGCACCTCTAATGCTGTGAGTAAATGGGGTGCAGGGAAGCTGACAGCTACCCTTCTTGCACAATGCTCTGGAACAGAGAGCCCCATCTTGTGCACCTTGTTGGAAGAAAGGAACAAGGAAGGAGGGGCAGGGAGAAAGAGATGAGCAACTAGCTGTCTTGTTAGCTTTAGACTCACCAAAGGCAAAGGACTCACTCAAAAAACCCTCCCAAGTTGCAAGCGAGCAAATCAACAAGCAGGTCAGAAAGCAAAAACCCCAGCAAAGCTCAGGAGCAGTTCCACGTGCCATTCACAGGGCAGGAGGGTTGGGGGTAAGGGTGTCAGATACGCACCAAGCAGAGAAAAACGGAGGACACTCACTCACTTGGCTTTTTAAACTCTTGCAGCTAAGAGCGAAGTCAGAGGTGGCAGTCCCCCGGAAAAGAGGTCCAAAAGAGCAGGTGTCCCCCGCCCCCACGACGGGAGAAGAGCCCACCAGTCGGGGAAAGATCCAGGAGGTCAGCGGCCAAGGAAGGTGAACTAGAAGCAGCGAGAGGTTGGGGCTGCTCCTCAGCGCCAGCTCCTGGGAGGTTCTCGCTGGAGAGGCCCCTATATTCCGTGGGGCAGGAGAGAACTGGCGCCCACCTCCTTGGCAAGGGCACTGGGGAGGCGCCGGGAAGCGGCCGGGAAGGAACTCGGCTGCGGTTACCTCGGCCGGGCCCGGGGCCGAAGCAGCGCTCCTGGGGGCTCCGAGGGCGGCCAGTCTCCCAGAAACGGGGCCCCCAGGGCGGCGCCCGCGGACCCCAGAGTCTCCAGGGGAGACGCAGCGTCACGCGGGGACGGAAACGTCCCAAGCCCCACCCTGACCCCACAGAGTCCGAGCCCGCGCGGACTACGCCGAGGCGGCGGCAGCGACCCGGTCTCCCCCTCCCCTCCGCCAGACCTCGCACCCCAGACTCGCCCCGCTCTCCGCACGGGTCCCCGGCCAGGACCCAGGGGCCCGCGCCACCTGGGCTCCCTCGGCGGGCCACCGCCGGGCCCGGCAGTGTTTGTAAACAAACCGGTCACGTGGCCCCAGCAGCCAGCTCCCCGCCCCCGGCGCCCACGGACCCCACGGCACCCCACGCGGGACGGAGGGCGCGGGCCCTCCGCGGGAGCCCGGCCGCAGGGGCCACGGGGCCGGCGTCCAGCGCCAGGGACCGACAGCCCGCGCTGACAGCGCACCCCACGCCCACGCACGCGGCCCGCGCTGCGCTCCCGGCTCGCTCACCCGGCAGCAGGCTGCCCCGTCCGGCCGGCGCCAGGCTGGCCTCCGCGGGGGTGCGTGGCGGCAAAGGGCGGCCCGGCTGGACCTCGCGCTCCCGGCTCGCTCTTAAAGCCACAGTCTCCGCCACCGCCGCGGCCGCCACTCCGCATCCCTCCGGTCGGGGCCGGGGGCTGCCCGGTGACGGACGCGCCCCCGCACCTATCCCCTCGGCTCAGCACATAGCAACACGCTGCGGGTTGGCCCGGCACGGCCGCAGCCCATCCGCGTGGAGCCAATCAGCAGAGGACGGAACTCCGCCCCCTGCTTACCCTGCCTCCCGCCCCCCACCCTCTGCCCCGGCCCGGCTTGGGTGCGGGGAGTGCGGCGGGCGTCTGGTCCGCCCCGCGTCGAGGCGACTGGCCGGGGGGCAAGGAGAAAGGGTGATAAAGCTGGGTGGGCTCTCGGCGCCTGGGAGGAGGCTGTTTATTTGGGTTTGGGGTTTGTGCCCAGGTTAAGGCTGGGATTCCCAGAAGCTAGGGTGTGTGTGTTGGCCGGAGGCCAAGGTAGTAATTACCCCCTTAGGTTTAAGCCATCCCTAACCCAGAGCCTAAATTACCAGAAGTGGCCCTCAGGACCCGGGGCAGTTGAATTTGATAAGATAGTGCCAGTCCCACCTGGCCCAGCTATTACCTGCTCAAAAGCTAGGCATTTCCCTCTTCTCTCTACCCTGCTAGTAATTTCACAGAGTTCAAGGTAGGAAAGGGGCTTTAAGGGAATCGGAAGGCCCCCTGTTGCTGCTGATTTTTTCAGGGGTTTTGGAGGGAGATGAGGATGGTTAACCCAGGAGAATAGGATGGTCAGAGTGACCAGAGGGGAGGAGTCCATGTTCTGGGTCAATGGGGTGGTGCTTTTCAAGGAAGAGAAGGTTAAAAAATAAGCTCTTGGCAGTCAGGAAATCCAGGGAGGTATCAGGTGGGTGGAGTGGGGCAGAGTCTCCCAGCAGGAAAGCAGGTCAGTTTGATAAAGAATGCTGGCAGGGACAAGGGAAAAGAGCAGGTCCAGCCTTGTCACTCAGCCACTGGGGTTCTGCAGCTCCTCAGAGGAAACCACATCTTTTATTGTGCAGCTATCAGGATGTGAGGTGCCTCAGGAGACACAGCTGACTCCAACCTCCTTCCATACACTGGTTTGCCGGTAAACCCAGGAGGGTGGCAGGGCAGATCCCCAGGTGGCTCAAAACTTAACCTACAACTCCACCCAGCTGTCTTTAAAATATATTTGGTCAACCAAATTGTATCCAGTTAATATACATTGCATAGTTGGGTGTGAATCCAGTCCCCAAAGTTAGTAAAAACAACGAAACACCTCAAATACATCAGTATCATGGCACTTACATATCAGCCCCTAGGGACTTTGTCATTGTTCCCAATTGACTAGTTTGGAAAGTCTAAAAAATTGCTTCTAGAGAAGAAAGACTCACAAATAAAAACCATTTAACATTTAATCCTTAATGTAAGAAGATGTGATAGATTCTGTAGATTATCAAAAACTTGCCGCCTAGCCCTGATCTGCCTCTCGGGCAAGTTTTTTGTCTCTCTAGGTCCAGGTTTCCACAGTTTAAAACAAGGAAGTTTGAAATAGGATGATCTGTCAAGTCCCTTCCAGCGCTGAAATTCTAAGTAGGGCCAGAAAGTCAAATTTGTTACAACGTTTCCGCAATGTTGTGCTGGCGAATATTTGTGTTGCCACATCAGCACTTCCTAACAGTAGTTGCTGCATTAGTTTAGCACCCTAAGATATTGGTATGTTATGTAACAAGACTGGTGGCTACTGTTTCTGTTTAAATAAAAGATAATGTTAGCTGAAGACGACTGGCCTGGTGCAGTGCTTTCAGAGGGAGCTCTGGGGACCCCTGCAGGCCTGCTGTGTGTATGCAGGGGACTGGAAAAGGCCCCCAGACCTTAGGGCCAGGAGACAGAGAACCAGCCAGCCAATAAAAAAATATCCATTAAGCATGATCATGCCTCCTCCCAGTCAAAAAGAGCTAAGCATGGTGAGTTGGCAAAGAAGGGAGAAGTGAAACAAAGAAGTGGATGAAACAAAGTGGGTAAAAGAGACTGCTCTTCCTTTCTGAATCCAAACACCTTGAATTGCTCCTCGGAATATTTACTCAGTGTCTGTTATGGGCAGAATTTCCTGCTTGACTTGGATGATGTAGTCTGAAGAATCTGCTGGGCCTGGTGGCCTGTGCCTGTAGTCCCAGCTACTTGGAAGGAAGGCTGAGGCAAGAGGATCACTTGAGCCCAGGAGTTCCACACCAGCCTGGGCAACATAGCAAGACCTCCATCTAAAAAAAAATTAATTAAAAAAAAAATATTCTGAAGAAACTACTGAGAAGAGAGAAGCCAAGGCCAGTGGAGAGTTTGTGAGCATAGGCAGATATTTCTCCTGGAGGGCAAAAAAGATGAAGAGATGTAGGGAGAGACATAAACAAATTTGTTCAGAGTCAGCCAGAGGGGATTTAAAAAAAAAAAAACCTTAGTGGTAAAAGTTTGAGAGGTTCCTGGCTTCACAGAAGGAATAGCAGCCTGGCTTTGCCAGTGGAACAGTACCCCTGACTCCTCTGTGAAGCCAAATTCGTTCATTCCCAAATCCTTCACAGCCATTCTTTTCCAGTATTCTCTCCCACTAATCCTATGTTCCCACTGTTGCCAATCAGTGCTACTACTACTGTGAACAAGGTCGCTTTTATGTGTTTATCTTACTCAACCTTTCAGAGCATTTGAAATAATTAACTACATCTTCCTTTCCCTCACCTCCCCCCAAATCCATCAGCAGGTCCTTTCAGCTTCACTTCAAAAATATATATTTGCTCTGAATGCATCTGCCTCTACTGCTACCACCCTGGTTGGAAGCCACCAATATCCTAGAATAAGCAACAGCCTCCTCACTGATCTCCCTGCGTCCAGTGCTTTCTCTACACAGCAGCCAGATGGTACTTCTTCAAAACAAACTCCTTATGGTGGCCCACAGGCCCTACCAACCAGGCCTGCCAACCTCTCTTGTCTTCCACCATCTGTCCTTCTCAAACTACTGCAGTCAAGCTGGCCTTCTTTCTGTTCCTCAAAGATACCAGGCCTGTTCCTGTTCTAGGGTGTTTTTGTTTGCTGTTCCCTGCACCTGGAACACTTTGCTCCCAGAAAGCTGCCTCTTCACCTTTTGGTTCTCAGGTCAAATCTCCAGAGAGGTCTCCCTGAGCACCCCACTTTACATGCCTGGCCCCCCAATCATACCTTCTCCCAGTTTATTTTCTTCCTAACACATATCACTCTCTGAAATCACCTAGTTCATTTTTGTCTGTTTGTTTGAGACAGTCTCACTCTGTCATCCTGGGTAGAGTGCATCACCATAGCTCATTGCAACCTCCAACTCCTGGGCTCAAGCGATCCTCCTGCCTCAGTCTCCCAAGTAGCTGGGACTACAGGCACATGCCAACACACTGGCTAATTTTTCTATTTTTTGTAGAGACAGGGTCTCGGTTTTGTTCAGGCTGGTCTTGTACTCCTGACCTCAAAAAATCCTCCTATCTCAGCCTCCCAGAGTGCTAGGATTAGGGCCTATTTTTGTTTGTTTTCTATCCCATCCAGCTCTAAACTCCATTGAAAGCATCAGGGACCTTATCTGTCTGGCTTTCTGTTGTATCTCCAGTGCCAAAAACAGTGTCTAGCACTCAACAATTAATTGTTGGTTGAGTGAATATCTGAACAAATGAATGAATATGCTTACTGTCTCATAGCTTTTCCCTGCAATTTCTTTCACTTGGAATGTTGTTCTCTCCTTTGTCCCCCCTTCCCTACCCCTCTGTTCTTTCCTTTCTGCATCCCATCAAATCCATTTGCATGATGATTCAGTCCAAAGATCAGATCAAATGTCACTTCTTCAGGGGAGTTCACCCTAGCCTCCCCAGCAAAATCAATTTTTCCCTTTTCAGTACCCTGCATAGCACTTTATTCATAGCTCCATTACATCACCCAACATTTCACACTCCCAATTAAGAGTTTTCTGTGATCTGTCCTCTCTGCCAGGCCCTCCTGGGCTGGAACCTTATCAGATCATCCTTATATTTTCAGCACCTGACACACGGTAGGCCCTCCCTAGAAGTTTATATCTGAGTTGAATCCAGTGGGGATCCAAGCAGAAATGGATAAGGGTCTGTTCTCAGAGTATACTGATCACCACCAGAGAGCAGCCTTTGTAGTATGATAACATTAAACCTGAAACTTCAGGATATTCTATTATAAAAGGAGCAACCTACATTTTAAAAATCACAGTACGATAGAAACTTCCTGAAGGCTAACAGCTAAAGGCTCCCACACCACCATACCACCTGGGGAATCAACCAGCTCTGCCTATGTGGGAGGGGGAGTTGCTCCTCCCAGGCCTCACTATATCCCCCTGCCCCCACCAGTAAAGTCCCATGACGTTACATCACAGAGGAGAGCCTGGTGCAATCTTCCCGCAGACAGATTGTGGTAACAGTGCTTTGTTTCTTTATGTACAATAAATGCTTTCTCTGATCCCTGTCCAAGTCTCTCATTTTCAGTCATGAAAGTGGCTGATTATGTGCATTTCAGACTGGTAATGGGGAAGGGTTGTACCTTGGCCTTTCTGAACATACCTTAACAAAACAGCTGCTACCGTTTATTGAGCACATATTGTGTACAGAGCAGTTTCTAGTCTATCTAGTTATATTTAATCCTCAAAACAACCAGAGAGGTAGATATTTCCCCCCTTTTTTAAAAGAGCTGATGCTATGGAATTTGAACCCTGATCTATCTGGCTTCAAAGCCCACTCATTCTTTTTCTTTTACGCCATCAAAGAGTAAAACTGCTTACCTTCTGTTATCCTGAAATATTCCAACCACTTTTACAAGGAAACTTGCCCAAACATCAAAATACTCCACAAAGCAAAACCCCATGCCAACCTGAAAGGCCTAGAAGCAAAAGTGGTGAGAGCTTCATATCTCCCTTTAACAGTAACAATAATATTTGGTGCTTCCCATATTCTAGAAACTGATATAGATACTTCACATGCATTGTGTAATTTAATCTTCACAACTTTATGAAGATTCCACAAGTCTACATCCTTTAACCACAGCTCCAAAATCCAAAAAGCGCTCTCTTTTTGAGCCCTGCCTTTGACTCTTTTCCTGC